GTTCTGTGTAAGTGAAGTTGTTGATTTTTGGTGGTGGCTTTTTTATTTTGCTTGCCGAAAGAGGGGTTATGCCGAAAGAGGGGTTGTGGATGGTAGCGCCCACCGGTCCACGCCTGAATGAACCATAGCTGGTTCGTAAAGGGATTAGCATTACGGAGCTGTGGTAGACCATGAGTACCCATCACTTACCTGACTACATGCTGCGAGCCTTGGTCCGGGATATCTTGCCAGAGGATGGAGAAATAGTCGGTAAATGAAGAGGAGGACAATCCAAATGCTTCCCTATTATGACTTGATCAGCATGTAATAAACGGGTTGTGGCGTGAATACACTGATTTCCTCACAATAGTAGCAATGTAGAGCAGCCCCTTTAGGATGGAGTATGCCATTACTGGCTTAGATCTCCTGCGACTGGTTTATCTTAAGCAATGCGAAACTTGGCTGGCTCGTATGTTAACAGACCCGAACTTGTTTACAGACTATATATAGGTCTGAGAGAAGTCTGCGGAGGGGAAAAGACTTCTGTTATCCAAACCGGCTCACTTTTTATTGGCTTAAAAGATAATAATAAGGAGACCCACGTCGTGTGGCCCTTGTATGCCATGAAAACGACAGCAATGTTTGTGATAGAAAGGTGGGATAATCCACATGGCCCACCGCGCCCCCATGGTCCGCAGTGTATTCACATAGGGACCATAAGTTCTCAGCGATAGTAGCGCAAGCTAACATTACATATCCACTTGTGAGAAAAGCCCCCGCAATCTCCACAACTTCACAAATATTATCGACATGCTCTACGGCGGTTTGACCCTTGTCGTTCACATACATTAGACCTAGTACAAGAGGCCCTAATGGTTGGGACTGGGGAGCAATCTCACCATGAGTCGGACATGCCGCTCAGAGTCGTGAAGAGTACTAAATGGAAAGAGGTTAAGTTGGAGGTTACCGAACAAGCATTCACAAATGATCCACCAAAACTCGCCACTAGCAGCCTTTTATGCTGTAAGAAGGCACATAAGCACACGTACATAGTTGACCAAGCCGTACACTGGAGCAACGCTTTGTCAATAGCGTTACTGTCTGTATTATGTCTAGCCCATTTCTAAGCCCTTTTGGAAAAGTTCTAACAAAGGACCACTAACATTTAACCCGTACTGCACTGTATTATAATAAGTATTTAGGGCTAATGATCTTCGTTCTATGCTGGCGTGATGTGCACTGTCCGAGCCACAGTGCGACAACCTGGTCTGTGCCCAGGACCTTGACATAGAAAACTCGGCGGCCTCTGGTTTCAGCCAGGACTCTACCTGGGTTGACAATAACCTGATTAATTTGGCTAAGATAAAGAATATGGAGGAGTATTTCTAAAAAACAGAATTGAAGGAATATTGTACAACTTGAATATCCACAATTTCAAGTAGCAAACCCTGGGTAGTAGAGTATTTGAGTATGAGTAATGTTCAGGGATGACTCGAAGCAGGGAGACCTTGAGAGTTCTAATATACCCCCACTGCGCCTGGGACTTTATTCAAGGGAGGCTAGCAATGGCTTCTGCGGTGGCAGCTCAAGTAAATCCCATTAGGTGTGATTGGAGCGACATAAACGAGGTCAGTATTATATGGCCTGAAACAGTGATCGATTTTCATTATACTTTGATCATGGCCTACTTTTAATGAATAAGTGGGGTGACTATTAGAAGGAGATGATGTAAAAAGATTCCACAATATGCAACCACTACCCACCTACGTAAGCGCATTTGGGTTGTTCGTAAGACATACTATGAAGCCAGGCATCGCTGACTATCTCATATTACTGACCAGATCCGAGTACCTTGGCGCGCTCCGGCAACGCAGCACTTTTCCAAACATAGTGATAATAGAGAGGAAATACCAATCAACCAGTTCAACTAACGCTGCTGGGATGAAACTCTACCTGATACACACTTCTACGAACCACGATACTGTATATAGCTGAGCCTAGGTTATTTCTGCAATATAGAATCAATATGGAGTGGAATATGGGTCCAGCTTTGATTCTATTGAGTAATTCATTGTGGGATTTGTGGAAACATCATTCCTTGTAATTTTTCAATCTTATAACAAGTTTAATGCTGCTGGTAACTTCTCTAGCCAGGATGCAGCTTCACGGAACGACAATACTGCCGTCAAAACGTGATATAATACTTCCTTTGTTCGTGAGACCCCGTTCACTGCTCTGGCCTACCCGCACAATATTGTCCTTACTTTCTACTGTTTGCTTTTCCTCGATTTATTGTTGGACGCAAACGTGGTGTTTGAGAAAGGTTAGAACTGATGACATACTTGAAATCCTGCGTTTATGGTTCAGTGCTGAAAAGTTTGCAGCGTTATATGCAATGCATCAAGAACGAAACAAACTCCGAGTCCTAACGGGCAAAGCGAAAGGGACCATGCGCATGATTCGGGCCATTCCCACCATTTCTGGACCACCAACAGGAGCAGGCACTTATTTGGAAGCAGGAGGGCTCCAATATCTTAGAGGCGAGCGAAAATGTCATTGCGGTTCTCTGGGGCGCAAATCATCGGACCTCCCCAAGGTGACAGAGCATTGGGCATCGATGATGGAGTTGTGACGATTAATACAGAGCACCTCCACTTACTCGGTGCAGAAGCATATTTGATACAGGTCCCTGGTTACAAAGGAAAGCTTTCGAGTTTTTATCAGGGGTTGAACTATAGACGGCAACAGTTGAATATAGTTTGATTTCTCCTGCTATAGTTTGTATGAATAATTGCAATGAGTTGGTTTATTAAGAATTCTCCTTCTAGATGTTTCAGTACATTAGGCCTCTTAATTAGCCAGAGAGTGGTTTTAGTACTAGTAATCGAAATTTCTTACTATTCTAGTTGCAATGGAGGCCCCACCAATATATGAACCTTCCTATCGCCTCAGGTCCTTTAAAGAACTCATGAGACCCAGTGAATAGGCTCTCCAAACATTGCTTGTGAATTCAACAAAGCGTGACCATGTTATAGGCAGGCATGGTACCTACACCCTTTCGGACAACCGCGCTCTTGAATACGATTACGCAGAGAAGAAAACGGATACCAAATACCACAGAAAGTTACGTCGGCCCCAACACTTAGGCCTACTAATAGTTTAGGATCCAAATAGACTGAATGGGTGTTGTAAATGGAGATATTATACCGAAGAATATCGAAATATTCCGCAAGTCCATTTTCATATAAAAAGAGGCAGAAATTCGAGAAGATTTAATGAGAATTTAGGGTCTAATCCAATGCTCGACGTCTCTTTTTGGAACGCAAGGAGTAATCCTATAAGTAACAATGTCGAACCCGGGACATTCTTAATAAACGCACCAACGAGTCTCTACCCTTCCTTGACCAGCTCCGCGTACCTGCGGGCGCTCCGACAACGCAGCGCTTTTCCAAATTTGATCATGACGAAGAAGGCAGAACAAGTAACCAGTCCAATAAGCGCGGCTGAGATAAAGCAATTCTGGTAACCCATATTGGTAACCCATGGAGTGATACTGTAGCCGCCTCTCAGTTCAGTGTTCATTGATTCCGCTCACGGGGGAAGAATGTGAACTTACCCATAGCTGATGGCAAAAGACATAGTGTTGCGAATCAGAATAATAGACACAATCGCGTTGCCAGCGAGACCATGGTAGCAGTCAATCAAGTAGTTGATACTGATTGTCAGACCAATCGCGTATGCTGCTGCCAATGCGCCCATAGCAAGGATCAAAAAGAACCAATGGACTCCTTGTTGAGCCCCAACACCCCAGAGGATCAAGGACGTTGGAACAAGCACAACGCAAATCATAAGCGGCCACAGGCGATGCTCGGCTTCCATGACCCCATTATTTCGGCGCGCCAGTTTGATGGTCAGCCAGTCGCTCATTCTTCCCGACACCAACGATCCAACAACAGTGCCGAAGCAACAAGAGAGATAGCTGAGACCCACCATCGAAGGTTTGAAGTTGTACCCCGAGCCTGAAAGAATGATGGATGCTGTAGCATTAGTGACGTTGAACCAGATGAGGTAAGAGCCATATGAGAACCCGGCGAAGCAGATGACGGGCCAGCCAAGGTACTCGAGGCAGCGCCAGGCTTGCCTGCTCATCCTTTGGTCCAGTGACGGTTGCCAAAGCGACATTTTTTGAACAAAACTCTTTGATTGGCTGCGGACACCAGAGGGTCCTTCCTCAGCTTCCCTATTTTTATCATCACCTGGGGGCGATAGTGATTCTCGCCGTCTGTTGAAGGCCTGGAGGTCTCTGCTATAGTTCGTTTCTTCCATGAACAGGAAAAGGAACACAAACACAAACGCCAGGAATATGGCAGGCCAGTAAAATACCCACTGCCATCCTTGGTACTCAGCGATGAAGCCGGAAATGACAGGTGCGAAGTAGTTGCTGCCTGTTAGGGCCAAGGCGTAGACGCCCATATAAGTACCACGTTGATGGGTGAAATACTAGCATGTAGTGAGTGTAGTAAAGCGAAGCTACGACGGAAAAGACTTACGATGTCAGTGACGCAGACTTCTGGGAGGGCTTCGATGGGTGCAACAAAGAAGCCCTGGACGATGCACTTCGCTATCCATTGCTCATTACTCGATACATGAGCGCTAAACATCATCAGTCGGATTTAACATTGGCCTCGTGCTCCAATGTGTAGTTACCTCCAAACGCTTGTGCCCTATATTTCAATATTAGCCCCTTTTGTCTGATTGTCGAACTAGATACAGTGGCTTTACAATAGCTCCTAGGGTTGAGATGAGGAACGTGAGCCGTTTGCCATAACGCAGCGAGAATGGCTGCCAGAACAGCAGTCCCCAACCCAAAAGCAAGAACATATAGCCGGTTCCTTCATTTAGTGTCGCAATAGAGATCTTAGACTGACGCGCAAGAGGCACAAGCACAGAGTAGACGGTAGCCAAGGACATGCCTGCAAACCAGGTATACCTCGAAAGATAAGCATTTATAAGACCAAATCATGTATGGAATGACACTCACAAGCTCTGACAGATCAGAGAAATTGTCTTTCGCCAAGGAGACCAATTAAGAGGATCGTTTGGATCATTGGAAGGCGCCGGATTTAAGACAATATCGCCCTCAACATCGCCTGCATGTCGAATGTGATGAACGTCGACCAGATCGATCGTACCAGGAATCAGTTCGGACTCAGGCATAATGGCGACGTTGGTGAGGTTTATGGTAGTCAAGAAATTAGATGCTGTACTAACGGTTCAATCCGCTGAATATCTATAAAAGAAATTCC